AACAAAAAAACCCCAACCAACCAAAAAACCTAAGAGAGCAATTGCCAGCTTATGTATTATCATGGCACATCACTTAAAAAGAAAAAAGAAATATACAAAAGGTGCTCTGCTATGTGCAGAGCTACCTGGAAAATTTCTAGACTCCAGCTTTCCATACGTATGAGTATTCTCTTAGCCTCTAGATCTAGATGGCAGAACATGTATGTGTACATCACTGATGATAGACAAGTGCTTATTTTTCTGACAGTTCACTTCAGCGTTAATATCAAGTTGGAACAACACTAAGTCACTTCCTTTAGAATGAGTGAGAAACGATAGTTATAACTTAGTATCTTATTTGATTTCAGTGGCAATGATACAGGTAGCTTAGTCTTGATTCATTCACACCTTAATGCCACATGTATTACGTGTGTCATCTGCTGGTTCCAGGGTCGATACCATGGCCGTGTTCCCCATGGATTCACCTCCAAAGTTTTTTTCCCCCTACACAGAAGGAAATTAATTCTGCTCAGTTAACCAACTGCTGACACCAGATAGTAAAAGTCAGAAAATTGAATCTCTTTTTCCCCTGTGCAGCAGTCAGAAAAGTCACCTAGGGAGAGAGAGAGTTGACACCATGTAAACTGAACTGTAATTGAAAACACTGTTTTTAATTAGAGCTTTTATTTCTAAGCCCATTTGCTGGGATGATCGCATTGGTGAAAACAGCAATTCTTTGTAACAAGGGCAGTTGAGCGCCCTTGGTGTGAATCAAGTTTAATCTTGCTGTAGTTATAGGACATTTTGAAGAGAAACAATTAATAGTGAATTATCTTTGAAGGGATCAGCTTGTGACCAGGGTTCACCCTGATAGCTAGCTGCATTAAAAGAATTAACAAACACAACATCCTGTCACTGATGCAGAAGCATACAGAGTACACATAGAACTTTTTATTACTTCCAAAATCCTGAATGTTTTCAAAATACTACCAGGCTTCCACCAATCGGAGTAACTGTCTTTCTGAGGTTGGAGAGAAACCCGATAAACTGTCAATGGCAAGTTTAGATGTTCATGTTTGATGATGTGTCAAGAGGTATAGCTAGCTCTTGAAACATTAGTCTCTTGCAGAGAGTATAGCAAAAATAAAAATTAAAAAATCTTGTGATATGTAAAAAACTAAATTAGACAATCTGATTAACATGTTATTATTACAGTGGGGTCTCTACTTAAGAACGTCTCTACTTAAGAACAATCCAACTTAAGAACAGCTCCATTTGCTAAATTTTGCTTCTACTTGAGAACAGAAATCCAAGATAAGAACAGGAAAAAAAACCTTTCCTGCTCTTTTTTTTAACCTTAGGTCATTTTAGGTTAAAAAAAATTCTCCCCCTAGTGGTAGAGTACGTATTAACCAGCTTTGCATTAGTTCCTATGGGAACTAATGCTTCAATGTACAAACACACCTCTACATAAGAAAAAAACAGCCAGAACGGATTAATTGGTTTTCAGTCCATTCCTATGGGAAATTTTGCTTCAACTTAAGAACGTTTCAACTTAAGAACACCATTCCAAAATGGATTAAATTCTTAAGTAGAGGTTCCACTGTAGTTTCTATGGACGGAAAAGAGCAGATACAGATTAAATGGTTTTCAATGCATTCCTATGGGAAATGCAGATTCAACATAAGAACTTTTCAACTTGAGAACCACCTTCCAATACGGATTAAGTTCTTAAGTAGAGACCCCACTGTATACATAGACACAAATGTAGACCTCAGTTGCAAGTCTGACATCTGAGATTCATACCTGCAAAGAAATCATATTGTGGAAAAGAAAATAGATTAATTATATGACACTTCTTTTGGTGTATAGGTTGACTCTAACACATTTTGCTTGGCATAAGATTTTGGGGACTATGAAGTCAACTGCAGTCCCTAACTGATTACGCCAAATAAAATTTATCTTTCACTGTTTATCTTTAAGGTACAACAGATCTTTCTGTGTTTTCTGTACTATTACTCTACATTAAGCTAATATTTTCGTTAGACAACTTGTCTCCATTTCATGCTTGTTCTCATAAGGTAGAAATTCATATAGTATCCAAGACTGGATACTACTTGAATCATATCTGAGGCTATTTTTTGTTTATGGTGGTAGTACTGCTGGTGGGGTGTGTGTGCATGTTTGTGCAAATATGTTTGCCATATCACTCTCCTAGGCCTTTTTTATAAACCTCATTTCTGAGCCATCAAGAGGAATTTGGGGTTACCAAATGCATCAGTTACTTCTCTGTAGTCTTCTTGGGAGCTAATGGGGTGGGCCAAGTGATGTCCCACATATTAAAAAAAATTGACCTCTATAAGTCTTTAGGACCCTTGTTATCATTTGTACTTTAAGGAGGAAACATTTAATTATCACCCTCTTCCCTGGCAATTCTGCTCCTTAAGTCAGAATGGTTTGTTTCAAGAGACTTAGGTCTTTTGTCATCTAAGAAGATTAATTGTTACTTAAAGAGCCTTGATTAATTATTTAAACTTCTAGCCACTTTCTTATAGTTTCTCAGCAGTTGCTGCTACTGTAGTTTTAGGAGAGAAACAAAGTTTAAAGTGTATGGTTCTCAAAGATGAATTAGGATTGGTCTATAATTATATTTATTTCACAGTTAAATAAATAACTTTTGTAATTGTTAATTAATTTAAATCAATTCTTTTATTATTTATAATAGCGCAGTGGTTTAGGTATCTGGCCAGAGGTTGGGAGTTTGATTCTCTACTGTGCTTACTTGACAGAGGCTGGTCTTGATGATCCATAGGGTCACTTCCAGCTCTGTACTTCTAAGATGATGATGATAATTAGTATAGTAATAGTATTTATAGTAACCTGTCGATCTATTAATCTATTTATTTCCCTTTCTATACTTCCTTATTAGTACTGCCACGCTGAGGTGATTCACAACACACAATAAAATCATACATAAAAATCATATAAATTACTGTATATTAAATACAACAAAATTCACCAGCAATAAAATACACTATCAGTAGCTAAAACTACCTTTAAATAAAAATACACAAATTAATATCCATTTAAACATCTCAGGACAATATTCGCACTAATAAATGGTAGCTTTATACAATTTTAGTTGCAATTTATTGTTGTTTAGTTGTTAAATCGTGTCCGACTCTTTGTGACCCCATGGACCAGAGCACGCCAGGTCCTCTTGTCTTCCACTGCCTCCCAGAGTTGGGTCAAATTCATGTTGGTCGCTGCGATGACACTGTCCAACCATCTCGCCCTCGGTCATCCCCTTCTCCTCTTGCCTTCACACTTTCCCAACATCAGGGTCTTTTTCCAGGGTCTTTTCTCATGAGTTGGCCAAAGTACTGGAGCCTCAACTTCAGGATCTGTCCTTCCAGTGAGCACTCAGGGTTGATTTCCTTTAGAATGGATAGGTTTGTTCTTTTTGCAGTCCAATGGACTCTCAAGAGTCTCCTCCAGCACCACAATTAAAAAGCATCAAGTCTTAATTAGCTTTCTAAAAACACTAACATTCTGCAAATGCATAGAGCAGCAGGTGAGTCTCTGCATTTGCCCCTCTTTCTTACTGTCAGACAAAATTTGTGTGTATATTCATCTAGCAGAGCTATTTGGCAAGTGGAAATGACAGATGAGAACGTGGCAGCCTCGCAATTGCAGGGGCATCATAGCACTTGAAAAGCACTTCAGTGCAGTTTATATAACCTCTGACTTTATTATATGTCTAATAATCTCTGAGCTTTACAAGAATTAATGGGATTCACTTAACATCACTTGTTTGGATTCTCATGTGGTTCAGTCTAGAGTATGATCATCAGATATACTTTTCTAAAGAGATGTTATCGATCTATAGTAGAGTTCTATGTCAATTGAGTCAGCATCACTCTATTCAATGGGCCTTACTCATGAGTACATGGCTTTAGAATTCTAGCATAAATTTGAAAAGCATGCCTTCAAAAACAAGTGCTGGATATCATACAGAAAAAAAAGATTACTATTCTGAGATGTCAGGAGCACTTCAGAATAAATGCTTGGACCTTGAGTCGCCTTCTTTAGTTAGACCTGTATGTCTTTGATATGTGTGGAACACGGTGTGGACTGGAGAGCGAATTTTACTTTCCCTTAAGGTCAGTGAAAGAACTACAATACCTGAACACATAATAGGCAAGGCACTTTTTATTTTTCATTTCCCCTCTGAATACGAAAACTCAGAGCAGGACTGTATGTTACTGAAGGTGCTTCCTAGTGTTCACAGGTAAAAGGCATTGTGCAGTTATTACATATTTTCTTCCTTAATGGAATTTCCCCCCTATTAAATAAAAAGACAGAAGAAGCAGTGTGAAGATATTAGAGAGCTTCAAATTAAAGATGATGACTTCTGAACTCCACATCAAATAGAATGAATAAATCAGGGTGAGGACTTGGTTGCAGGTCCTCATTGAAAATCAGACATTTTTAGATCAGTCATTTTTCCTTATAGCACACCCGGTGTGAAATTTTAACCAACAGTTTCTCATTAAATATTTCAACCATCTGTATTCAAACAGTGCTTTACAAGTGTATTGTGGAAAAATGGTCAAAAAGATCTGAGTGTGCATCTATCTGTCCGTCTGTCCATCCGTCCGTCCGTATACATATGAGCTCTCTTGCTGATTAATATCTGACAATTAATAGGAACTTTGTAATGTCTTAAACGAATTGTGTCCCACCTCAGAACTTCATAAGTTTAAATGCACTGAGAATGTCACATAGCCCACATATTCAGCCAGTACATCTTCCACTGGAAAAAGATGCACTGTCTTGGCAGTTAGCACAGCATGGCGATTTTACGGAACAATCCACTGTCTTGAAGCAACTAGAGAGATTTGCTGATAGAAAATGTCAGACAATTAGTCAAAGCAACACTTCAGCATTGCTAATAAAACAAACATATATTGCAGTAGTTGTGAAGTCTTAATTGCTTCTGTTTATAATTTCCCTGGCAGGTATATTTACGTCCCAATGGGAGGATCGCACTGCAGTATGTTTAAGATGCTGTTTTCTACTGCAATCACGTTTGCTTTTGTGAGCTATTGGCATGGAAGCCATAGCTATCTTTGGTCCTGGGCTGTGCTTAATTGGCTTGGAGTGGCTGCTGAAAATGGAGTGAAAAGGCTGGTTTCTCTTCCAGCTGTTCGTGACTTCCTTGTAAGTTAACTTGTTTTCCTGCTTATAAAGAGATTTGCACTTAAAATGAGATCCAGTTGTTCCCTCTGGCAACTACAGATATTGTAATGCTATCTAGATCTGTGTCCAGTCTCCTGCTCCCCCACCCCACTATAAGGTAATCAGGTGTGGGACTGACAGCTCTTTAGCGCTATGGAGCAAAGAAGGTAAAACAAGTTGGCACTGAAAATATGAGGGTGCCAAACAAATGGTAGTGATGATATCTTTATTGTTGAACATTCTAGAAAGCTACTTAACAGGAATGTTTCCTTTGCTTAATGATTAAAAATATATACCATGGACAGTATCTTATTAATTATTTATGCTGTTACAGGTGCCATGGTGTAAATCACAGTGGCAAATTGCCACTAGTTAACAAATTGTCAGTTGCATTCCTTGTTGTACACGCAGCGAGGTACAGTACATGGAATAAGACCTGCTTTCATGTCTCCCATGTGTCACAGTAATTTTTTGTGTGGCGTTCAAGCCCTGGAGTCCCGTAAGGACCAGCTGAAGTTGTAAGGCTTGATCAGTTGAGGTTTTACTTTTAACTGTCTATTAAGGGATGCCCTCTAGAGAAAATTGTGAGTGGGTGGAAGATGTCGGCATGTCACTGTAGCCAGTTATCTTGCTGGACAGTTGAATGGTCCTTCATGACTATTGTTTGAACATTATCAATTAAGCGGTCTTCATTCTTGGACATGTGTTTGCTGCAATGCATTAGAAAATATGCATAGATTTTGTTTTGCCCCAAAACAGAATGTTTCCTGATGGCGTTTGTGCTTATTTAACTATATAAATATTTATTTATTCACCTTTGTTGCACCTGTTGAGGAGCAGCACTTTAGACCTTTTTGCTCTTGTGCTAATTTGAGTTTGGCATAGGGAGAGTAGCTCTAACAAGCTAGTCGTGGCTGATACTACTTAACCTGGTTATTTTTATATGACATTATTTGTCTAGAGTTCAGGTGAAAGAGAGAGTGAGAAAGAATGTGTGTGTATGCATATATTCCCAATTGGCTCCACATAATGAAAAACAAGAACACAAGAACAAACATGATGATAGGTCACTAATGATGTAGCCCCATGTTTCTTTAATTTTTTGGAGCATGGATGAAGAGGGAGATATGACATTGCCAGCCCTCACAGGAGTGGTTGCTGAGAACTGAGGCCTCAAGACAGAGACCTGGCTTGTAAATTCCAGTTGTAAGCAAAGTTCAGAATTTGGGGTTCATGGACCAACTTTGTCTCCCTCTCATATTTTTCTTGGGTATCCACTCCAAAAGTACAGAATTATTAATATCATGAAGCTGCGAGAAATTTCCGATCATTTCCATTTGCTCTCTGTGTCCCATTTTCATTCTGTGCCTTTGGAAAGAACTGTTGGTGTCTCTGGTAAGATGAGGGGGACGTGGTGGCGCTGCGAGTTAAACCACAGAAGCCTCTGTGCTGCAAGGTCAGAAGACCAGCAGTCGTAAGATCGAATTCACTCGACGGAGTGAGCTCCCGTCACTTGTCCCAAATCCTACCAACCTAGCAGTTTGAAGGCATGTAAATAGGTACCACCACGGTGAGAAGGTAATGGTGTTCCATGTCTAAGTCACGCTGGCCACATGACCAAGGAAACTGTCTATGGACAAACGCTGGCTCTACAGCTTGGAGACGGGGATGAGCCCCATGCCCTAGAGCTGGACACGACTGGACTAAATGTCAAGGGGAACCTTTACCTGGTAAGATGATCAGACCCTCTCAAAAACAAAAAAAAGGAGGAAAAGAGACAAAACATTGTGAAATCTTCAAGACTAATTGCTATATTTTAGGGTGAGCCTTCATGGATCTAGCTCAGTCCCTAAGACTTTTACCCTTGGTACACTGGTGAAGGATGGTGAGTGGCAAGGTTGGTGAGGGGAGCAGATTCTAGTGCTCTCTTCTCAGGTTTCCCCAAAGTAATTAAGAATGTCGTCCTATGCAAACTAATTTAGGAGTTAGCTAGTTGAAGGTTGTGGTTAAAAATGCATAATGTTGCCCTACAAATTAGTGTGAAGAACCATCTGCCTTCTCTCCCAACACATTCTTCTTTGAGAGGAAGTTTGAGAATTGCTTCATCTGGCATGCAGACATTCTCACTGCCTCATGTTCTTTACTCCCTCAATAATTTAAATTGCGCTTGCACTTATACCATAAAAGAAAGCAAAGACAGCTCTGTTAGTGTCTGTCTGTGTCCGACTGCTTGGGAAATACAAGCCAAAAGAAGTTGTAGAGTGGGGATTTGAGCCAGCTCTCAAAGTATTTTATTTTCTGCTCCATGGCAACATGTCCAGAAAGAACAAGGAGAAGTCTGTGTGGTCCCCAGGATTACATAAATTTAAGAGTGCAGTCACCCTTCTAATAGGGGTAGTATCTGGCACAGTAATTCTGAAAAGTGCCTTACCGCCTGCCCATCAGTAAAAATACGACAATAATAACTGAAGTAACAATAGTAAGGACAGTTCTTAACTAGACCTTCTGTGCTAGAAGCACTACCAGAGGAAGACTATACATGCCAAGCAGCTCCCCTGAACACTTATTGGTGGTGGTGATTTCTAACCACAAGGGCAAAACACAATATAGATTTTTGTGATATGAAAGCCAGCTCATTGTAGTAATCCCTGCCTTTGCAAGTCCAGCTCTCCTTTAGGAATATGAATATAAACAAGGCACCTTCTCTTTTAATCTGTTTAAGGCATGATTTCATATGATGAAAGCCTATCCATGTTTATGTATCAAATTTTACACCTCCCACATGCTTCAGAAATGGTGGTATAGATTTTCTTCCCTTTCCTCTTCTGTGCTGACATGCAGACTAATTATGATATTGCAAGGAAACTAGTTGATATTTAAAGTACCATCAGTGTCAACTGAAGTAGCTCATGTTGAAATAATTGTGCTTTTTTCACTGCAGTACCAAGAACTATAAAATGCTGTAGTTATTACCATCTTGGGTATACATTGTCAAAGGGAGAGGAGAGCAGCAATCACTAACTTTAGCAGGTTTTTAATTTAACATAGGCAGGGTGGCTTTACCCCTTACTCATGCAGACTATGTCATGTAATTGCCTCAAGTGGCATATACTGATGTGTGAACAGTAGTTGTCTTTAAGAACAAACATCTGTGTTCCACGCAAGCTGTCCTGTAACCAATAGCTACTCTATTCCTCTCTAGTGCAGTGGGGGTTGATCATCATTAAGTTAAGATTTAGCAGTCAGCATGATGAGTGTCTGACAGTCATTATGTTGTAGGACAGGGACTTAAACTAGGACTCACGAGACTTGGGTTTTTTTTTTAAAATCTCAGGCAGCGATAGATCTTCAGCCAGCCTCAGATTCTTCATGTATCCATTATCAAATCTAAACAGCTTAAAGAGTTCATTTTTCTACTAAAACTGCACCATGTATAAATGAAGACCGAGAGGTCTGTCTGCCTTCCTCAGACCACTTTTTCATGCTTATCGCCTTCCATTCAGCATCCTTTTGGTCCTTAGGAAATCTCTTCAGTGGAAATGAAAAGTCATTTTCTCAGCATGGTTGATGATGGAGTCAACATGTACACAATATTTTTCAGGAATTTTGAAGATGAAATATCCAGCATTTTAAGAAAAAGAAGAAAGAAATATTGTTTATTTTTACAAACTCTGAATCACCAACAAATTTAAAGTCAAGATGACTTATTTCTGACTCCTATGTGATCTAAACCAGGCTGTGTCTGAACCAAGGTCTAATGGTGAGCTTTTGCCTAACCTACTTCCCTGAGGATCAATCAAAAAGGAAATATATACTATCTACCCAAAATGTGAAAGCCTCAATGGTCATTTTAGCTTCTACTGAGTGTTCAGGCTTCATATGATCTACAAACCACTTATTTTTTTCTTTCTGGCTGTCAATGGCCTATACATTTGAATTAAATAGTTCACCCACCCTTTTCAGCTGCTTCTCATCAGCATTGTCTCCACACACACCCTTTGATGTACACTTTAATGTGGTGAGGGAATCTAAGTTTCTTGGGGAAGCTGAATGCCATATAGTTAGGAAGCTGGGATGTATTACTATTCTAGACTGCTAGCAGGGTCACCAACGACAGAATATGCAGGCGGAGATACAAGGATAAGATCCATCCTGTGCAGGAATTAATGGTAACATTAGCAGAAGATCACTGATAGTTCCAGTGGTGATGGAGAAATTCCTGAAGGGCAGCTACTAGGCAGGAGCGGTAGAGAAAAGTGACACTGACAGAAGATCTGGCACAGATGCCAGCAATGACATTCAAGCTGAGAGTGTGGCTAAATAGGAGAACTGAATCGGAACTACTGTTATGATTTGATTTGCAGCTTGTATTTTACAGTATCTGGAACCACAAACACAGGCTGCAGACTGATTTGGGAGTTCACCGTTCATGCTGGTTGTGATGCAAGTTGCATTCCAATCCACAGGTTCTCTCTCCTCCTCCCCAGTTCTTTCCTTCCTGCTCCCACCTCTGCTGATCCTTTAATGGTTTGCAGCCCAGAGGAGACCAAGAACCCAGAGCAAGAATGAAAGGAGGAGGAGGAGGGTAATGTAGCTTATGTCACCAGAGACCAGCAGTTCCTATAGAGAAGGGAGTAATGGCTGAGTGGTAAGAAGGGTTTGATCCCGAACGGAGTCATTCTGAGTTGTGAATCATGATGTGTTTTGCAAAATTACTGTTCCATTCAAAATTGCTGCAATTCCCCAAATAGCTCCATTGTGACAGTACAGGTTTTTGTAGTCCAAAATTGACTTCTCCAAGTACAGGACTTCCCTGTACTTACAATGCAGAAACTTGTATTGTAAAGCACAGATACCCAACCGCCCCCCAAACTGTATAAAGGAACATCCCTTCGAAATATGACCTCACTGGTGCAATCTACTGATAATATAGCTGGGTTCAGTAAATTTAGATTAGTTTGCAAACCAGCAGGCAAATACCG